GCTCAACAGTAATTAAGTGATTAAGCAACAAGAAGCATAGGAACCCCAGAACCTTTAGCGAAAGATATCATGTTAAGAATTTAGTATTTACTCAGAAAACGATTACTGCCATTTCATTGATTTCTTAGTGCAAGTATACATGACTTATATAGCATTTGATTGCTGAGCTAAGAAGTAATTTGCTTAACAAAAAATATAACCGTATAACAACACCCTAACAGCCTACAGATTTGATTTCCTGCAACACAGTGTACGCTACTAACTATGAGCTTAATTACAACTTCTTGAATCTTCTCCATGCACGCCATGCTTAAGTCTGCACTCAATAATTCTTCCAACAGGGATGGAGTTGACAATTTGCTGGTTCTCTTGATTGGTGGAATCCCAATTGCTATGCCAACTGTGTTGTCTGTCACCATGGCTATTGGTTCCCATAGGCTTTCTCAGCAAGGGGCTTTTACAAAGAGAATGATCGCCATCGAGGAAATGGCAGGCATGGATGTTCTCTGCAGTGATAAGACTGGGACTCTGACTCTAAACAAACTTAAAGTTGATAGAACCCTAATTGAAGTGTTTACAAAGGGAGTCGAAAAAGAGCATGTTTTACTCTATGCAGCAAGGGCTTCAAGGACTGAAAATCAGGATGTTATTGATGCCGCAATTGTAGGAATGCTTGCTGATCCAAAGGAGGTATTGTTTTTTTCCAAGTCTTTCTTCTTCTATTGTTACCATTAGGTCCTAGAGCTTTGAATCATCTTTTACACTAATTGGCAAGGCACGAGCTGGTATCCGCGACATTCATTTCTTACCATTCAACCCTGTGGACAAGAGAATTGCTCTAACCTACATTGATTCTGATGGAAACTGGCATCGTGCTAGCAAAGGTGCTCCAAAGCAGGTAATAATACTTTTCTCCCATTTTGGAATATCAATTTTGAAGTTTTAGGTAGATAGCTTCTAACTTATATGCTTTCATTGTCTTTGAAAATAGATCTTAAATCTTTGTAATTGCAAAGAAGATGTCAGGAGAAAGGTTCATTCGGTTATTGATAAATTTGCTGAACGTGGACTTCGATCTTTAGCTGTTGCAAGACAGGTCAGAAAAACAAACTTTTGAATGATTCATGTTGATTAGATAAGTTAATTGGTGTAGTCATATTGTTTAGTTTCCTTTCTACAGCAAGTACCTGAAAAAACAAAGGACGCTCCTGGGGCACCATGGCAGCTTATTGGTTTGTTGCCACTATTTGATCCCCCGAGACATGATAGTGCTGAAACCATCAGAAGAGCTCTAAACCTTGGAGTGAATGTTAAGATGATTACTGGTAAGAGTTGTTTAAATGTTATTTAAATATTGAACATTGTCTACAGTTTAAAGATGCAAATTTTATGTTATTTTTCTATCATACCAGGGGATCAGCTTTCCATTGCCAAAGAAACCGGCAGGAGGCTTGGAATGGAAACCAACATGTAACCTTCATCTTCCTTTCTGGGTCAAGACAAGGATGCTTCCGTTGCTTCTCTCCCTGTAGATGAATTGATCGAGAAGGCTGATGGATTTGCAGGAGTATTCCCTGGTGTGTTTAATTGTCAAATGTCTACCTAAATATTTGATATTCTGAAAAATGGAAATTATTAAAATGCATGTTTTGGTAAGAACTTGGTCGATCATTAAAGAGTCGTGTTACACTTGGCGCTTGTTACCGTGCACATCACTTGTTGATTTACAGGAACATTTGATATTCTTAGGTTGTTTCTGATAGTGTCATTATTTTATTTGCCATAAGGTCTCATGCTAAGTTCTCCCCGATAACAGTTTGTTTTCACATCAATGACAGAACACAAATATGAAATTGTCAAAAGGCTACAGGAGAGAAAGCATATTTATGGCATGACAGGAGATGGAGTCAACGATGCTCCTGCTTTAAAGAAGGCAGACATTGGAATTGCTGTTGCTGACGCCACAGATGCCGCTCGAAGTGCTTCAGACATCGTGCTTACTGAACCTGGGCTAAGTGTCATTATCAGTGCAGTGCTAACCAGCAGGGCTATTTTTCAAAGGATGAAGAACTACACTGTAAGCCATATCCAAGCTTACTTTTGTTTTCAATGTACAATCCTTTACTCCACAGGGCAAGCGTTTCTAACTTCGTCTCTTGTTCCTTTCGACTTCTATAGATCTATGCTGTTTAATTACCATTCGTATTGTGGTAAGTATATACAGACCTGCTGAGACTTCAACAATGATAATTGCAAATAGTTTTACAAATGGATTAGCTTATTCATCTTCATTTTGGCAGTTTGGCTTCATGTTTATAGCCTTGATATGGAAGTTTGACTTTGCACCCTTCATGGTTTTAATCATTGCCATTACCAGATTGTTACTTCAATATGTCTATGTAAAATCCACCAGGAAACTTACCATTGTCATGCATCTGAGTTATTTCATCATCACACATATCTATAGGTACAATCATGACAATTTCCAAGGACAGAGTAAAGCCATCTCCACAGCCAGACAGCTGGAAACTCAAGGAAACTTTCTCTACTGGCATTGTGCTTGGAGGTTACTTAGCACTAATGACTGTTATTCTTCTGGGCAATGAAAGACACCGATTTCTTCTCCACAAGTTCAGCTTCTATCTAATTTATGCCTTATTTTGATGTGATTTCCTTTTGATTTTGCTAAGTTTCCTTTCTTATTTTTCAGGACAAGTTTAACGTTAGGTCACTGAGGGATCGTCCTGAAGAAATGATGGCAACTTTATACCTTCAAGTTAGTATTGTGAGTCAGGCCCTCATTTTTGTCACGCGGTCTCGCAGCTGGTCCTTTGTTGAACGTCCTGGACTTCTATTAGTCAGTGCATTCTTTGCTGCTCAGCTGGTAAGAAAATTTAACTCATCATTTGAGATATCAACTGCTTGAAAGTCCGTTTGTTCTCTTCGTAAGAGTTTAACAGGCCTCACTTCATTTTGTGTAAAGCAACTAGATGCACTGTTCCTAGTACAGCTAAATCAATATAGATGGTTTTTGTTGCAGTGAATTTTGACAAATACATAGCTTCCTGTTAACACATAATGAAGCTTAGCCACTTGTATTTGGCAGGTGGCTACTCTGATAGCTGTCTATGCAAATTGGGGTTTCGCAAAGATAAAAGGAATGGGCTGGGGGTGGGCTGGGGTTATCTGGTTTTACAATGTGGTGACTAATATTCCACTTGATCTTATAAAATTCGCGATCCGTTACGTTCTTAGTGGAAAGGCTTGGGACAATCTTCTGGAGAACAAGGTAGGATTCATCATGACTTTCAATGGATCTCTCCATTTCTGCTATGTAGTATTTGTACATGTTTCTGATTCGTTTGCACTTATTATTCTGTGTTCCTATTAAAGACCGCCTTCACTACGAAGAAAGATTACGGAAAAGAGGAAAGAGAAGCACAATGGGCAACTGCTCAGAGAACTCTGCACGGTCTTCAACCACCTGAAACCTCAAACGTATTCAATGAAAGGAGCAGTTACAGGGAACTTTCGGAGATTGCAGAGCAGGCCAAGCGTAGGGCTGAGGTAGCAAGGTGAGTTGAACTAATTTCCATGCATATGCACAAAAGAAAACATCCTTTTTTGTGATTATGATCTTAATATATACATATAACTTATGTTGTAGGCTGAGGGAGCTGAATACGCTGAAGGGGCATGTCGAATCAGTTGTGAAGCTGAAGGGACTTGATATCGATACGATTCAGTAGCATTATACAGTTTAATGCTAAAGCCGCAAGCAGCATACGATCAACGAAGGATGATAATGATCTTGTGTTCCTCCCTCTCTCCAAAGAAAATATATACGACGAACAAGGCCTACGGCCAATTTTATGAGAGACAAAGATAATGAAAAGGAATCTGTAATATTGTTAGTATTCTAAGTTTAGTTTATGTAAGTACGTTCAACTCTTAACCTGGCCTGCTTGCCTAACCTTGCTTCTGCATCTACGATTCCGTCTTTATTTCCTTGTATGGATCAACATTTTAGTTACGGAGATATGTTGACATTGCATTGTTGCATTGCAGGAATGTAAAAACCTTTCCTTTCCATTCGTTTTAGTATATATTAGAGAATCGATTTATTCTCAAGTTACGTTGGCCTTGAAACTAATCCATGTCAGGTCGGCTAGATGCAATCGAGATGACGGAACTTGTGCATAAAGCAACCAAATGATAAAGGGATGACCGGACAAGGAATAAGCACATCCAGCAACAAACCTACCTATGTAACTACCCTTTACCTCGACAAGAAACAAACTGATCGTGTACAAAGAACGGAATTAAGTCGCAGTTTTTGATATACAGAGTGGAAAGTTATACAGGGAAGGGCCAGGCGTATACTACATCCGATATCATCCTTTTCACCGTAACAGCTGACACAATCATCGTTGTAGATGCTTTCCGTTAAGCATTTCGACGATGCTTCTTCCGATAGCACAGTGCTCATTTTACTGTCTTTTCTTCTGGTGCAAGTAATTTCTGTCATAATATCAAGCTGATCTAATTCCCCTATATCAACACAGACTGGAGTGGTGAAATAAACTGAAAACTTCAAAGGATCATACCAAAACAAAAGCGAACTTCATATGACATTATCCATATCCAGTCTCATTTGTCTACGCTGGTTGTAAAAGTTTAGGCCATCAGGGAGCAAGCTGGTACTAATTTCGACATCGATTTGTTATCACCCACCAAGGAGAGAACCTTTCGTGCTTTTTTTAACTAAATATTTTTTAATTAAAAACTAGAATGACCCTATTTCCAATCATTTATCGAAATAATACCCTTTAGTTGGATTTTATTCAAAAAGAAGAAATACATGTAACATGCATAGGAGATGCGTGTTAGCACGAATTGAGCATGAAATCCTAATAACAAGAACATGTACATCGAACCCATCCTAATAACAAGAAAAAAAAATTAAGGGCATTTCATCAGAGTAAATTCTTTAGGGAATGTTGATGACTAAATAAATTTAATTAATCACAGCTTAGACCTCCACTTTTCACTTTTATGTCACAATATTGAACATTTGAACATGAAGGTCCAGCAATTGCCTACTAGCTAGCAACTAAATTAACAAGTGAATATGAAAGTAAACTTGAAATGCTATACCTGAAAATATCAATTCTCTTATCTACCAACTCAGTACTTGCTTGTTATGTCCCCTACCCCACCATCCATTATATTCGCAGTTGACATAACATAGCAAAACTGTGCACAAGATATACCTTAAACATCTAAAACACCCACATATTACAATCACGCAACTGCAGATGCAGTTCGGCGAAGATCTACCCCGTTATCGATTTTGCTGTCAGTTGGTCTGCCTTTGAAACTGCCATACCTTTCCCGCCTAGGCAGAAAAAGAGAAAGGAGCATTTGTTCCAACCCCTGCACTGTGTACTTTGCATATTTACTGGAACTTGCATCTTGTTCCACCAATGGCCCATAAGTTTGCATATAGCTTCGATAGACGGGTAGAATCGCCTGCACTATTAGTTGGCATGTCTTCTCCCTCAAATCTCTTTCTGAGATAACCCAACCAGACTGCTTTTTATACATCTCATCAAAAGCTTCATTAAAAGTTTTCAACCTTTTCTTTACGAGATCACGAGCAGTGGCACGACCACCTGAGAACAGGATTAACCCTTCACGGCTTAAATGACCAGGGAGCTTACCCCAGCTCTCTCTTAAGAATACAGTGGAATAATACTCCTTATACTGTTCATGATCTTTCAACCAAGCATCTCCCATGAGCTCTCCAATTTTAGTTCCCTTTAAGTGTTTGTATAGATGCCAGTGGCTGTTCATAGTGAAAAGATAGGACAGGGTAGCATCACCATATGCCTTCACCCATGTTTCCAAATTCAGATCAACGGCCTTAATTATTTTCAAAACTTCATTAACAAGAATCATCTCCTGAAATTTTTTATGCTTCCAGCTTTGGTGAATGACGAGAACTTGGGTCAGGATCGGCCTATACTCATCACCAAGCAGTTTATTGCAGTACTCGGTTATGAAACTCACCAACTTAGGAATGCTCCCATCCAGAGGAGGAGGAATCTGCCTCTGTAATTCCACCTGAACAAAGATTTCCCAGAAAATTTCGGCTGCACCATCAATAACCCTCTTGATGAGATCTCTTGTCAGGTTTTGGATCTCAATGCATGCTGCTCCCCCAAAGAGCCTGTTGAAATCCAATCTCAATTTGTTCAAAGATGCAAATATATCCAATAACTTGAGAAGCTTTAAAGGTTCTTTCTTGCTTTCCGTAATAGTCTTCCCAAACTGAAGAAAAGCAAGAATGCCAGCTTGTGCAGCTATTTTTGCAAAACATCCCATCCAAACATCCAGGCCAATCTTCTCGAAAACATCATTACACAGTTTGAACTCTGCCTCGAACAAATGCTTTACTGCAAACTCTAAATGTCTTCCCCACTGTCGTATATACCCTTCTATGCTCTGCACATCGTTGAACTCCGAGATTGAGATCTCAAGATAATCCAAATCAAGTGCCTTCAAGCTAGCTCTGACATTTGAACTACGAACTTCAACATAGATTGTAATGCACTTCTCAAGTCTATTATTAGCAATCAGCCTACCAAGAATTGCTTGCAACTTCTGAGTAACAGTCACCGGCAAGGGCGACGGTGCAATGCATGCTTGTTCGCCTAGTGATGGAGATGACATTGGAAGTGGCATGCTATGCTCCGTCAATAGTCTTCTAAACTCATTTTCCAGTTGATCCAATGCAGCATCTAAAAGACCCCCATCAAGATGTATTATTTCCCCATCATTTTGCAACTCCCTTAGGCCCTTGAGTGATGTCTTCAAATTTGACAAATACCGTCCGTCAGCAACTCTGTTATCCTCCAAATACTCGATTATATCTTCCAACCATTGAATAGCCAATCCACAGTTATCACCAAGAAACCTCAATGCCTCTTTGAGGCGTTTCAACACCGATAAATACCCAGGAAGATCATTCCTGGGATCTGATAGAAGGGACTTTTCAAGCCCATGAACCGCGTCGAAAACCTTAAGCACTGCAGCAGCAGGGCCCACTGCTCGGTTGATATGGCCCCCAACAGCTGCAAGCGCGTCCTTGTCAGCAAGAATTGGGCGGACTGCAGCTTCTAAGGAAGGCAATCTTTGGTTGATCTCCTCTATTCTAGGTCCAGCCTTTTCAAGAGCCAATCCTAGGGATTTTGTTTTCTCTAAGCCGAGCTTTAGTGACTTTCTTGCAGCTATCAAATTATCAATACAAAATTTGTTATTGCAATCATCACCAGCTGCAGATGGGTCCATCTTATTCCCCCAAAGGAAAAGCCTAATCAAAATCCAAGCTTGTAAACTGAGACTACAAATTTGGAGACCTACAAGCACTTCCAAAATGGGTATTTTATCCTACAGTATAATTCTCATGGGAAATCTGATCAATTTCCCGCGAATTCATGCAAGAAAACCCCTTTATTATTTTTCTTTATTATTTATCAAATCAAACCATAAAAAGAAGAAGAAAGGGAACAGTAAGACGGTGGGGAGAAAGCGAGTAAAAGAAACTCACTTCGGAAACGGAGAAGCACAAGTGTGGGGGTGAGAGAGGTGAGTTGAACAGGCGAGATGAGCTGGAAGGAGAGAGTTGGAGCGGATTCTGAATCGTTGAGTTTTGGGTCCAAAGAGAAACCCCAAAGTAAGACGCAAATTGAGAGAGTGGGAAGAAGGAAGACACCACCTTTTGAATTGGTCTTCTTTTAACCTTTATTTTATGCATTGAAGAAAGCGTTGTCCATCGTTGGCCAAGGGATCCTTTTTTTTATTTGTTTATAGTTGTACCTCTTTTCATCCTCAAAATTCACACCTCTTTATTATTATATTTATTGCAACTTTGCAGCTGTAAAATACAACTTAATTATACATTTGGTTATAAATGAGTCACTTTTGTTTCCAAAAACTATAAATGAGTCATATTGCCTTAGGCAATGGGTTCTATACCCACTTAGAGCACCTCATTCCTTCTCTTAAGTCCCTCTATCCCTCCCCTCTAATAGAATTAAGATTAAAATTAGATTTTTTTTAAATAATTTAATAAATTTAATTTTTTATATTTAAAGGTTTCATCAATTTAATATTTTCACGATAATATTAAACCAAGTCAATTAATTGAATCAAAATAATATTTGAATAAACATATTATGTTATGATGCACCAATAAGATATTTTTAAATGGATTTATATCAGAAAAATAATATAATATTTTTAAGAAAAAAATAAAAAAATGTAAGAGAAAAATGAAAACTGAATTGATAGATCTTTTAAACATAAATTGATAAAATCTTAAATATGTTAAATTTATTGTATTTATTATAAATAAAGATAAATTGATATGATGTATAAATTTTAGAGACTAAAATTGTTATTATTTCAAATTATGTCATTATTTTATATAGTATTTAACGGCTAATTATCTGTTTGTAATAATATTTTAAGGGTTAAGATCCACTTATATAGCGTAAACTTTTTAGTTTTACACCATTTTAAGATCATTGGATAAGAGGAAATTAAAGGCTGAGTTAACTCTTTGTTTATTTTTTCAGTAAATATCTTCTTATTTCCTACTTTTAATCTCATCATTTGATTTCCTCTCACCCAACAATCCTAAAAATGTGTAGAACTTTAGAATATGTAATTGGATCCTAGACCATATTTTAATTAAATAATAGATTTTCAAAAAGTAATTCATTTGTAACTAAAATAATAATTGAATGATTTAAAATATATTTTATGTTATTATAATTTCATAATAATATTTTTTTTAAAATCTATGAAGTGATTAGATATTATTAAGTGTTTATCGTATTAGATATTACCCCATATTTTGAATGTCAAGGGTCCAAATCCAAGTGCTGTTTATTGGTGGGCCGAACACTAGTTTTGCAACGAAAGGATGGATCCAATGTTGTTTTGGAGTGGACCTGGTATTTATCGAATCTGGAGCTGACCCTTAAGAAAGCAGTCATTCGCAATACAATACTCGAAACAAAAATCCGAAGCAGCTGATTCCGCTGCTGTACTGATACTGATTTGCGCAGCTTCACGAGGTTGAGCTTCAGATCTCACTCTCTCTAATTATTATTAGAAATTGCATATTATTTTTCCCAGCTGATTCGTCTTTTGTGGTTTATTTTAACTTTTGTTCTCAATCTAGGTTTAATTTCTCTTGAACACCCCTTTTTCCGGTTGTTTGTTCGGTGTTGAGTTGAAACTTGAATAATCGCCTGAGAATAGTTTCATAGGTTTCTCTTGAACCCCCCGAAAGATCAATGGCGCGCGTGTACGTGGGTAACCTAGACCCACGGGTCTCTGAGCGGGATCTTGAAGATGAGTTTCGTGTCTTTGGAGTTATTAAGGGGTATAGTTTTGTTTCCTCTTCCGTTTTAACATAGGTGTCTGTATTTTTAAGCATGATTCTGATTTTTATAATTCTCCAAATGTTGCTCTTCTTTTGTTTTTCCAGTGTATGGGTTGCTCGTAGGCCACCAGGTTATGCTTTCATCGATTTTGATGATCGCAGAGATGCTGAGGATGCCATTCGTGAAATAGATGGTATTTTTTCAACAATGTCTTCTTTTTTGTTTTTTGTATGTCACTTGTTGCATCCTAAATGTTTTGTCTAGTTAGCTGTGGTTCCTTTCTCGTTGTGAACCAAATATGCAAAACTAGAGAATGCCTTGGTTAGGACTTGGGAGCTAGCACATTGGTTATTGGGATGCTCTTTCCTCATTACGATTTATGATGGAAATCATGGTTTCGGTATGCAATTTGCAGTCTCTACTTATTCAGAACTTGATATAGCTTTATGAAGAACTTACTTTTTCAATGTCTACTGCTTCTAATATTGCCCATATTTGCTAATAGCACGGATCAATTTTACAACGAGGATCACTCTCCTGTTGTAATTTTCTTAAAATTTGTTGATTTTATTATCCTATACGAATTGTTTTTCTGTTGTTTTTTGACTGGGGAAGTCTATAAAACTTGTTGGCAGGAACATAGTGTTTATCTCTTTCACCCACCTAGACGCAAGTCCCTAATTCTCTTTTTCTTAACGGCATCTTTATTTAGCACGAGTTTGTCATTTGAGACTCCAATCTATTTGGTGTACTTGGAACAGGCAAGAATGGCTGGAGGGTTGAGCTTTCTCATAATTCTAGAGGCCGAGGTGGTGGCCGTGGAGGCGGAGGTGGCCGTGGGCGCTCTGGTGGTTCTGATTTGAAGTGCTATGAGTGTGGTGAGCCTGGTCATTTTGCTCGAGAATGCCGCTCACGTGGTGGTTCAGGAAGACGTCGCAGTCGCAGCCCTAGATATCGTAGGAGCCCAAGCTATGGGCACAGGTAAGGCCTCCTGATCTAACATTGGTTGTCATTATGATTGATTGAAGTCTGTAATCTGTACGTGATTGGATGACGCTTAGCAACCTTATGTAGAAGTTACAGCCCTCGTGGAGGATCCCCAAGACGCCGCAGTCTTTCTCCTCGTGGACGTAACCTCAGCAAATCTCCCCAATACCGTGGTCGTGAGGAATTGCCATATGCTAATGGGTGAAGATCCTTGAACTTGATACTTGTGACTTAAAAGGCCTTCTTTTTCCCCAATTAAGATTTTGTTATCCATCCTCTGTCCTATAATGTTGATGATGCTCAATTCACTTTTATACCATTTGCTTTATGATATGCGAGTGTGAAATAGTTCTACTGAATTTGGTGCAGGAATGGTGTAAGAGAGCACCATCGGAGCAGGAGCTAAGTACCACAATGATGTAGCTTTTATGTAAGGAGACTGGATTAAGTGTGTTTAGTTTGTTTGGACTTCAGTGCTACTGTTTTTAATTGGGCAACGTCCGCAGCCTCTTGGATTTGGTTAAGTTCGTATCTGTTTTTCTATATTCTATGTTGGTTTTCTTTGTTTGATCTTTGCAAAATATTCCTTTCTGCATAGTAAAGAAGAAAGCATAAGGTGACATCTACAAATTTTGTTGATAAATCATTGCAGGAACCCTGCTAAAAGTTCATGTTTTTTCCCCCCTTTTTTGTGTTGAGGTGTTTTCTGCATCTGCCTCGGTGCTTTTCTGCTTCTACACTACCCTGGGGTTTACTTCTTAGCTGGCCAGCTATGGGATCTTCAATACTAGATGATTGTGGGTCCCATTTGGCATCGTCTCTAGTTTCAACTTGGCTAGCTGCTACTGTTTGAACGAATCTTTCTCTCTGGTTGTGATGCAACTTCACTCAAACTCAGAGTGGTGTTTCTTTACTTTTATCTTAAAAGGGATTTGGGGAACTGCATCAAATGCTTCTCTGGCAGGTACTTATAATATCTGTTCTACAGAAGTTGATATTTTAGGATCCCTGAAACATTAAATTTCTTTGCAAACTTCCAAAAGCGAATACAAAAAGGTTTATAACAGATAAAGTCTGGAGTCCTCTATTTGGGTTCGAAAGCTGGGATGCTGAACTCGCCGTTCTTCGTTGTCTTTGGCTGTCTGCATCTTCTTCATCTGCATCTGCATCTAGATGATGGAAAGAAGTCTGCTTTTAAATAATTCATGTTTTTCGGGTTTGGAGGTATCTAAAATGGGGGTTTTCTGGGATGGTTGGCCTTTAGCTACAGAACCGGATTATCTTCTACTATTATTGTCATAGGTTAATCAGGGTTCTTTGCGGTATTGGGTGCAAGACAAAGTGTAGCTGAAGTGAATGGTCACTTCCCTTTGGTCTGAATGGTTAACCTGCTTGTGGTTGTGTTCAACATTAGGAGATGTAATCATAGTTGGATGAATTTTTCAGTGGTTTCTTGAATAGATTGATTACATGCGGGATGGTTATGTTGTTAGAACGTTTCATCGATGATTGTATTAAGAACTCTGAACCAGAGTTTTTAATGGAACCATTCATATTAGATTGGCCATTCTTTTAGTTTTTTTAATTATCAGACAATAAATCTAAATAAAAAATAATGCGGAAAATAGTGTAATAATAAAATGTTTTATTTATTTTTTTCTTCTTACCACGTTTCATTTGTGCCAAATAATCCAGAGTAGTCAAAAATGATTCTAGTGATAAATGGTGATATCTTCGCTTTATACATTTAATTTTTAACTTTTAATTTAATTCTTCACTAAATAGATTATATTATGAATTTTTAAAATTGGGTTACATAGAATTTGAAGTACAATTTGTAATAATTTATCTGTTCCTTGCCTTTGATAATAATCTAGCTTTCAGATAATTTATTTTTATTGAGCAAAAACTGTTTATCATTGAAAAGATTGTTAATTATTATTTTTAAGTGATTGTTGTTTTGGATGATAAACATAGCGGATTTCACCTACCGAAGCCGATCTTGCCTGGGAATAATAAATTTCAAGTAATATGGTTCACGTGGCTCGTAAACTAAAAATAAAACTAATTTATTTATTTATTTATTTATTAATATCCGATGTTATCAGGCAAATGGGTAGTGTTAGGTGTTGAATATTTAATATATAATATTATAAAAATGGTTTACCAACACCTTTTGTTTTTCAAATTTTCCCAAAATAATCTGAATAGGTTGATAGAGTAGTTGTTACCCGTTATTCACCAAAAATATAATAATAAAGAAATTTTTCTCACATTTTCAATAACAAACGACGCCTATGATGACTCCTTAGCCAAAATATTTTAATCTAATAGAATGATTGAGCTAAATATAACGTCTGATAAGTCCACCTATTGTCCAATAATTGTTTCGAGTGCTTTTAAAGTTTGGATAAAACACAATATTAACCCCTCAACTGTTTGAACTTTGCAATTTTAATGACTCCTTCAATCCCTCTACTTTTAGAATCTTTGAAAAGTTAAAATATTCTAACTTTTTTTTTATAGAAGCCACTAATTTTATTAAAATATGAAATATACCGAATTACAATGAAGATATACAATCATTATTGTAAATTAAGCACATAATTATGATACTTTCCTATCACCACTAACACAAAAATTAGCGACTTAAAATCCTATAAGGTCATACAATGAAAGATTTAAAATATAACCAGTAAACTCAAACAAAGATAAAAATAAACAGATATGATCGCAAAGGAAAACGAACCATAAAAGGGGATAAAGCTACTAGAAGGCCATCGACAAACCGCAAATGAGAGTTGGGCGACTTGAAAAACTATGTACGAACGCAAATCGAGTATCCAAATTCAATCCAAGAGTCCAAAGCATGGAAGATTCATATGATAATAGATAAGTGTCATCTTATCAGTCATGGTGTTGTCAAATCAATTCTTAAAAACGATAAATGAAAACAATAACCAAATGACCAAAAAACATGCAAAAAAGTAGAAGAAAAAGTTCCATAAAAGCATATAAAAATGTGTCATATAGGTAGATTTATTAAAAATAAAAAAAAAAAGAAAATAAAGATACAGTATAAAAAAAATAAAAGGACAATAAAGAATATTGGCAATCAACAATCAACATCAAAGTTATAACACCCCATACCTAGTCACGAAGAAGCACTCGGGTACCTGAGTGTACATTAGATTCCGAACTTGTCCGAAAAAAACCTAAACATGCGTACTATGCGGAAGTATTCAAATTTAAAACATATATCATGCAACACATGACAATGGTTAAACATCAATAATTTAACATCACTTAAAAAATTGGTGCATTACAAGATATGTGTTAGTAACCAAACAGTGGTATGCAAAATTCCATATTAATCGGACACCAAACAGGGACCTAATTGAACATGCTTTTCTAGGGACTAAAACGTAAAAAATTTAAAAGTTATATAAGAACTGTAATGTCATGAATCCCGAGTTAGTAGTTTCGGGTCAACCTGATATAAGTTAAATAAACCCATTAGCCTCGTATGAGAGTTCAACCCAATTAGATATTGGATTAGGCTTGGTTGGGGCACAATTATTATGGAAATAAGGTATTTTCTGGTTGCATTTAAAAGTAGAGTGGCCAATGGAATAATTAAACTATTTTCACTTTCAAATGTTGATTTTGTTTAACTGCGGGTGAGGTCACGTAAGAAACCTCTTTTTCTTCATATCATTTATCTTCTTCTCCCAAGCCTTCATCTTCTCCTTTTATTCTTCATTCTAGTTGGATAGCTAAAGGTGATAACTTGCTAAATTAACAAGCTTAGCTTAAGATTCTAAGGTAAGAATCCTAACACTCTCATCCCAAGCTCCAAATTAAACTCTTAAGATCAAGTTTTGGCCATAATTTGTAAATATGGGTTTTGTGGGGGTTTGAGAAAACCGTAGTTACCCATCCTATTTTTGAAGGATTTCAGTCTTAAGATGTGTTTTTAATACCTTTCTAACCTCTAAAACACATTAGTAACCCATGTGCTTAACCCTTGTTTAGTGAGGTAAGTAAGAGAAAGCTCCAAGAGCAAGGGGAAGGAAAAACTCACCTTATGTTGAGCATTGGACACTTCCATCAGCTTAGAAATCAAAGGTTACACACTTCTAACTCAACTCTACCACATGTAGATCATTAGATAAGTTTTGGTAGGTTGTATGAGTTATGAAGCATGTCTATGGTAATTGTATCTTTTGATGTTTTCAGCATGTTAAAAGACCTATTATGACCCCCATTTAATCCTCATGGGACTTTAATAATAATTGGGAACCTTAATAGGGTCTTAAGAGATGAAATTTGGCATTTTTCGTACCCAAAACAAGGTATTTCTGAGCATGAGTATCGATACTAAAAGAGCAATACCTATTAGCATATTGTTCATCAAACAACTTAAAACAAGGGAGTTCTGAGTGAGTAGTATCGATACTCATTCATGGAGTATCTGTTAGCATCAGTGCCCTAGACATATTGTATGGACATGATATTTGACTATTGGATTTTATTATTATCATTTATGTGTAATTTTATTTTAATATCCTTGAATAATATTGTTAATTATTCTAAATATCCCTTATCGATTATTATTGTGAGAACAATAATAAAATAAGATTGATATAAAATTTTATAGATATTTATGAGATGAATATGTGAATGAGATTCAAAACAAATTCATATTTATTTATTGAGAACAAATATTGGACCGACTCGTTTTGAGATTAATACATGAATTAAAGTTTTATATTAATTTCAAAGCAGTTTTGTCATTAAATCCTTAAACCTAAAATTACTACAATTCGCAACATGATGATTATTACGTTTTTACATAATCAAACATTGTATTTAATCGGACAATTATAAAGTTTATGCTTGTAACATACCAAACATTGGGTCGGTGACCAAAAGGTAATAAATTAAAAGTTATTGGTTAAATTGGATTAAGTTGAAAAGTTCAAGGATTAATTTTGGAAAAATTATGTTCAGGGCTAATTAGAAAAGATGTGCTCAGAAGGTTAAAGTTGTGTTAGAGTGGGAAATTCCGAAGAATGTGTTAGAAGTTCGAAGTTTCCTGGGCCTCGCAGGTTATTATCGAAGGTTTGTCAAGAAATTTTTGATGATATCTCTGTCATTAACCAAATTGTTAAGAAAATATGTGTCTTTTGATTGGACTCCTGATTGTCAAAAGAGTTTTGAAGCATTGAAGAAGGTTTTGACAGAAGCTCCAGTGTTAGTGCAATCAAAATCAAACAAAGATTTCACTATTTTTAGTGACGCTTCCCATAATGGTTTGGGATGTGTTTTAATGCAAGATGCAAAGGTATTTGCTTATGCTTCATACAACATGTGGAGTGAATTAGAAATGAAATTGTAAAATGGGTTTTGAAATGAATTGTTGGTAGGGTGTAGTTTTTGGAGTTTTATTGAGAAATTTGACTTGTCAATGATCTAACTAAAGAGTTAGGAGTATTAGAAAGGATTAATAACTTGTTTGAAATAATAGTATGATTTTGAGATGTCTCGATCAGAAACTATAGA